ACCCCATCCCCCCACAGCCATGACCCCTAGCTTTGAACCCAGCCCCTCTGAGGCTGACACCCCTCAACCCCATCCCCCCGCAGCCCTGACCCCTAGCTCCAAGCCCAGCCCTTCTGAGCTGGGCACCCTCCTGACCCCATCCCCCCACATCCCTGAGCCCAGCCCCTCTGAGCCGGGCACCCCCCGACCCAGAGCCCAGTTCCCCACCCAGCCCTGGGCAACAGTAGTGCCGCCCCCAGGCAGCGACAGCCCATTGGCACCAACCATCACCATCACCCAGTGACAGCCCATTATATAATTGCAAATGTATACATCCCATTAAAGCATTTATAATAATGTATTTAGTGTATTTTCAAATTACATTCAAAAATTAATTTTTGAATGTATTTCACTGATTATTTTTTACATTTCCAAATACATGTTACTATAGTATTGCAACTTTTTATTATGGACGGGGCCCCCGAAATTGCTTTGCCCCAGGACCCCTGAATCCTCTGGGCGGCCCTACCCCCCCCTCTTTTTATGAGTCTCTCCCTCGTGCTCTGCCTGGCGGGGCTGGGGTCTTACAGCACAGGACCCCCACCCCGCGCTGCCCAGGGGAGCCAGGCTGAGGGGGGCAGCAGGAGGCAGGGAGCTCTACAGCCATGCAGGCGACCCTTCTCCCTGCCTTTCCCCCGCGGAGCTGGCAGCAGGGGGGTGAGGGCCCCCAGGGGGCAGCAGGAAAGGGGGCAATGGGAGGCAACTCCCCACCCCCCACTGCCAGGGACTCGGTGTCAACTTTCCGATCCACCTTAAAGCATCTCCCCGCGTGGCTGTGATTCCTGGGTGGGGTGTTGCCCGGGGAGCGGAGGGGGCTGGCGCGCGGCCCCGCCTTGCAGGGTTGTACCTGCCCAGCTGCGTCAACTTTGTCCCAGTCCCAGCTGGGTCGGGAGGGCGCGCGTGGCGTGGGGCAGCCGGGACCGGCCGCGGAAGGGGGCAGGCTCGCGCCACGGCTTGCAGCAGCGTTGGGGCTTTTCCCCCCTTCCCGTCGCGGGGCAGGCCGGGCTCGGTGGGTTTCCCTTGGGAGTCTGGGCTTCCTCCCCGCCGCCCCATTGCGTGCCAGGAAGAGCAGGGAGAACTTTCCCCTGGGGGCGGCTTGTGTCCCAGGCTCGTCATGCTGCGGACGGGAGGCGTTTATGCCGGGAAAAAGAGGAAAAAGCCGGTGCAGAAAAGGTAGGTGTGTGTGAGAGACAGAGAGCAGCTCCCCTTCCCGGAGCGTGTGTAAATCACCCGTGCCCACCCCTGGGGCTTTGCAGGGCTGTCTGGGGAGGTGCTGGTGCTGCCTCTGTTTGCTTTAATCAAAGGGCAGGTGTTTCCTCTGCCCCTGACTCCTGCTCGCTCCAGTGTCCAGGCAGGTTGTCCCCTGGCTCTAGTCCTTCTCATTGGTGCTATTCAGCGTCCTCGAGTTCCTTTCCCCCCTGTCCCTGGACAGACCTCACAAGGCTTGGTTCTCTGCTCCCCCTTTGGCTCACTTATGTCTAAAGTATTTGCTCCAGAACTGGTTGTGAAATACACTCCGAGAGAAGCCTGGGTCTCTGGGATGGGGCTGCTGAAATAGCTCGCGGATTCTCTGATACCATTTAAATCCCATCTGGACTGCATTGTTTGACTGTGAAATCTGAAATTGTCCAAAGACTCACACAAAAGTTCACGCTTGATATATGTGCTTATAGACTCATAGAC